GAGTTTACATTTATTTTACTGCGTTTGGCTGCAATCGTAGACCAATAAAATTGTCAAACGATTATGTGACACTAGTGATACATCGTAATATAAGCATACAATAATAATGTTTATCATGGCATATTTTTGTGCATATTTGCATATTTGTATATTTTTTGCGCACATTTTTTATGCGTGAAGATTTTTTTGTATGTTTCGCGTGCATAAACATCCGTGGTCTAATGACGAGTATTTAAAATTAAGTCAATATATTTTACCCGTTGTAGCAACGATATTTGTGCCTTGCTTCAACAGAGAACTATAAACGAACCAAAAACAGGAGGACAAACTGAAGTTTTCAGAAGTGGGAACGTGCCACAATTTTTCTCTACGTATTAAACAATTAAATTAAAATTCTTACGATTACCGGCCACCAGTAGTCGTGAAAGTTATTAAAAATTTGTCAGAAACCTTATGTTGGCGAAAAGGTAAATAATCGGCCCTACAAAAATTAGCGAAGCTAAAACCAACAGCCAGACGGTTCTTTCAAAGGGTGCCAGAAGACCTGAGCCTGTAGCTGAGTCCTGAGGCCTCTTCATCACAGCAGTTAGTTTCATTTCATCTAATGGAATGCTAAACGTGCAATATTTATTCATTTCTGGCAATACAGGAAGAAATGCAACAGCTACGTCTATTTTCTGTGAAATGAAATAGATACTTTTTAACGAACAGATCATTGACCTACATTCGTCATTGTATCATAGTACAAATTCTCGAATGATACCTTGTTGTAGAGTAAACTAAGAACGCCGCTATTTTTATTTCCCAAGATATGTTCTTTTGGTGGGACAATGGTATAGGTGAAGTTTAGTTTTAAACTGAGTAAATCAAAAATGTAAAACGCATATCCTTTGCCAACCCATTTTCCATTTTCCTGTACAATTCCTGAGAAAGGCATGTCCTGTGAAATATATATATTCTCAATTTAGAAACGGAAAATATATGGGAGATATATTGAAAAATATATTGAATGTTTCCAATCAGACTTACATTCCACGATGTTACTGTCAGTTGCGACGGTATTTCTTCATAATTTGTATCGCTTATCATGCTATCTAAGAGTACAAAATGACACGAAAAATAATTAAGAATTTTTACAAAGATCTTATACTTATATTAAAGTTTTATATTTCACGAACATGATAACGTTTCGATTGATTCATTCAGATTTCTAAGTTAAACACAGAAAGTTACTAAATTGATATACATTTTTGAATTAATAGAATTAATCGAAGAATAATACCAAAGAAAATAGAAATAAAAATATCGAAAATATCGAAAAATGTACAAATATAATTTAAATGTCATATATAATAATATGATTTATATAATTTATTGTATCACCATTAAGAAATGAGTTTAGAAATCGATCGTGCATTTATATTATATAGATACGTACCTTCACCATGAACGCATTGTGTACGTTCTTGAATAAAAAATAATGCTGCAAAAAGTAACGAGCAAAGGACGTGCATCCTTTAATCCAAACTAAAGTTATATCGATCTGAATTGATTGTATTTAAATGTAGGCGATCGTATATCGATAGATTCTGCGTTTTACAATAAAACTGGCACCTGTATAAATCGATACCAACGTGCAGTTGACATTCCAGTTAATAGTGACCTGACCAATGTTTACATAGCGACTGACATACGCATTAACACCTTCGAGTACTATAGCATGAAAATCGATCCATTTCGTAGGAATTTTCCAATAAGTTTGATTATTTCATAAAAGCTTTCTAAAAAACAGAAATAACAAAAAAAAAAAATATATATATATATACTGTAGTAAGTAAAAAATATATTATGTATAATGTATATATATTATATATGTATGTATGTATATTGTAGTAGTAAGTAAAAAATATATATAATGTACATATTATATATATATGTATGTATATTTTAGTAAGTAAATAAATATATTATATAAAGAATATATTATGAAAAGAAAAAACACCTGTAGGAACATAATTATTTTGAATTGTTTGATTATTACAATGCCATGAAAACCAATAAAAACATCTGTGGCGTAGATTTTAAACAACAGTTTAGAATCGGAAAGAGAAAAAAAAAACGAGTAATTCAATTAGAAAAAAAAAACAAAAGATGTAAATCTTGCTTATGCAAAGAAGATAAAAAAAAGAAACATACCATATTGTACAAATTGCGCTAAATCAATTTGTGAAAGTTCTTCCGAGCTATATTATTAAGATCGCTGCAATATAATTAAATATAATTAAATATTAATAAAATTAAATTACTATAGTGGAGAAAGTATATATATTTGAATGAATTTTTTTTTTACAACTTGAGTATATTCGAGTGTATCATTTGATCAGTGCGCCATTTAATGGTCCAAAGAAAGAAACGAGCCATTGAAAGAAATATCTCAAGATTTTTTCTTCGAACGAACCTCTTCAAATTTTTTTTCTCGGTAATGTTCCGCTCCTATATTCGCAATATATCGAGAACGGTACAGTTACGTATCCGCCAAGAGTCACATTTCAAAAATCGATGCGATGAACGTTCACATCGAGAGACACCGCGGATCGACGCGACTTATCGATACATTAATCTCGACGAGACATGAAGATAGGCACGGAAAGAATTGAAGGATAGGCAGAGAGACTATGCTGTGAATAGCAGCCTGAATATATTGAAATGACAACAAATGATTGATACTGCTGCGAACGTTGTAATATGAGGTGAAACAAGGAGAGGCATCGCGGCGCGAACGGGAGCACACTTCGTTGGTAAGTAGCCCCGCAAAGCGTCCCGTTTCGGGCCTTTGGTCCCGTCACGGGCTGGGAAAGTCACTTCTCCATTTCACCTCGTCGGTGAGTTCAGGTTATGTGAGCGCATCGAAACGCGTCGTCATTCGCCCGTTCTCCACGCATATTGGCCGCAGGATGGGCCAGGGTACGGATACATGCACGGACAGACCCGCCGAAGTGAGCGTCATCAGATTCGTCTCGAGGAATCGTACCATCGAGGAAATAGCCCCGAAGAAGGTACAGTCGCCGGAGGCACTCGCTGGGTTCAATGACCCCCAACTCAAAACAAATCACCTGTCATTTGCCCGTGTTCGCCAGTTTGTTACATTACACGGTCAAATTCACTCTTTCATGTTCGTCAGAGTTGACGTTATGATACAAGAGAACAAAATAATTGAGTCTTCTGCTATAAATTTGCATCATAAAGCGTTGCAACGATCATTGTTGATCTGTCAGCATTTTGAAACTTTCTACGTAAAAGTTGTTACGTTTTTTTTTGATTTTTTTGAGTCAAACAGATAAAATCAGAATGTGGTATTTTAGATATTTAACCTGTATAAAAAAGAAAAAATTGTATGACGAAGAAGATAGTCACATTCTCGTTAAAAACAGCAACCATTTTTCATATACTTATATGTATAAACTCTTTTTACAAATAATAAACAGTATATAATAATTAAATGATATCTTAATCTAATTGAAAGAAATACTTTGTAAATATGAAACTCTTCTTTTTCTTTATGGTGTACTATAATGGCTGTACACTTAAAAACTTATTTTACAAACAACTTGGAAAAGTTTACATGTGTTAAGTGTACAGCCACAAAATATGAGTTTTGTAAAATTCAATACTATCGAAGAACATTACGTTCCTTTTACCATTGCAAAGTTGCAAAATTACTTTTACTGTTACAAAGTTACAAAATTGTACTTTGCAATGGTAAAAGAAATGTAATGTACACTTGACAGTGTACATTGTATACCATTATATTGTATAATGGTATAAGTCAATCTTCTGCCTATTTAGTCATCATATTTCAATAGTAATGTATAGAAACATAAATCAGGATGAAACTAATTGAGATTTAATAATATTATACAATAATATGTTTTTAGGAAATATATACTTGCAAACAACGAGGCTGTGGCAAAACATTTACTAACCAAGATGAATACAAAACGCATGAAGCTCTCGAGGCTTTAAAGATTAGGTTCATGTATGTCGTTATTCGTTCACTATAAAAAAAAAAAAAACTGGTTTTGAAATTTTTTTAGCTAGTAATTAAATTTCCAGTTGTCGAGAACCGGGATGTGGAGAAGAACTGTCTGACCCTGGAAGCATGTGGCGCCATTATCAAGAATGGCACAATAATGAAACAAATGTATTTATATGCCCATATACAAATTGCGGTTCTTTGCATACAACCAGTATTAATCTAGAGGAACATATCGAAAACTGCCATAGACAACCGCCAGCATTGCCAACGGAGCCGGAAGTAATATGCTTCGAAGATCCTGAGAATGCAATGGACGAGGAAGTTGTACAAAGCGCAGATGAATGTTACGAGAAGAGAGCGAATGAATCTCTTGCGATAAAAGTATGCCAATACGATGATAATAACGAACAAAATCTTCTCAGAAACGATAATGCACAACAAAAGAACGAGGTGGTCCACGATCAGGGTAACGCGAACGATAGCCCAAAAGAAGATTACTCTTCCGTTAGTGAATCTTTGAACGATGCCGGCACATTTTCTATAAACGAAAGTTTAATTCTAAATACAGAGAATTTTCTGTCTAAGTACGAGAGTAACACCAACAAATGTTCAGAACTTCAAAATGAACATTCCCAGGAAAAGACTAATGTAGTTTACGTAAACGGTGATATTACCATTACTAAGAATATGAAAAATGAAATCTGCAGTATGAACGCGAGAAATCAGGAGCACAGAATTGAGCTAGATAATCTAGAGAAAATTTTTAGAAACGAGCTCGACCGCGATGTTTCAAAAACCGACGAAAATACGGTGGAAACGAACAGCAATTGTTCAGACGACGAGGAATATACCCCAAAGAAACAACGTATGTCTAGGTACAAACAAGAAATTTACAAATGCGCAGTTAACGGCTGTGGGAGAAAATACAAGTACATATCCCATTATCGTCATCACCAAGATAGTCACAAACTAGCAGCCAATACAATTAGTTCGAATTCTAATAAATCGATACTGAAATTAAAACAAGGGAAAGCTTCAACCGTCAGTTTCTTCTTGTAAGTTTAAAACTATTGATATCTCGTAGCAGAAAACGGTATTTTTGTTTTTAATTTCTCATATATAAAAAGAGATACATGTTATTCATGATTTTAGAAGCTCAGTAAAATTTATCAAACGCATTTTAAAATTCTAGTTTCTATTGTATCTTTTGCGTCTCAGGTAATTACTCTTGCTGCAAATATTATGAAAAAATTGATCTTTTTATTTAAATTGTTTGTTAATCTCAATTGTATATTAATTAGATGCAAGATTCCTGGTTGTGGAGCTCAGGTGAGCAATGTGACCGGTCTGTGGAAACATTACCAGGACAATCATGCTAATTCAAAACTGCCACTAGTACAAGGGACTAAAAATAGTGAGGTATTTCGGTAAGTTGTATTTCGTGTTGTTGATTATAAAAGTAATTGTATTCGCGAACATTCCTGAATTTGTTACCTTAAATCAAAATATGTTTTAGTTGCAAAATTCCTGGATGTGAAACAGAGTTTAGTACAACAGTAATGCTCTACAAGCACTTTACCGAAGTGCATTCAAACGGCACTGGTAATAATGCTAGCACAAATACAAAGACTGGGAATGGGAGTAGTTTTCATTATACTGAAATATTTAAAGATGATACTACTAACCCGCAAGCAAATTTTAAGACTGACTTTAAAGCAAAGAACAATATTAATGTAAATGACTGTACAATAAGTACTGATGATCAAAGATCGTCGTCGGTTGTTAAGAAGGAAGCGCGGGATTGATTCCAAACAGGTTGGCATCGTAAACATGAGAATAATTAATTATAACGGTGAATCAGAGTACTTTACCGGGGCCGCAACCAGTTGAATTATTGTTCCTCCTTCTTTACAAATAGAGACGTGTTTATCCTTCATTCTTTATCTTTTTGACTAGTCACTTTTTAATTACGCTTTTATTTGTTTTATGAGGGACGGCCCTCGTTAACTACTCAAATCTTTGTGACTATAACTCTGAATCATAGAAATGTAAAATAGAGAGATAACTCTAGGATTATCAGAGTTGTTTTTCTATAAATATCAATTGTTTCAGTGCAAATATACGATACAAATTTCATAGCTTATAATGTTAGATTAAATTTAACTTCTTATTCAAAAGTTAAAATGAATAAAATTAAAAAAAAAAACATTTTCAATGTTTTCAAGTATATTTTGTTGTTGAAATTTGTTCGAAATTTGGTGAAAAATGTTATTACGAACATCATATATAAAATAAATATTAATATTTATGTACGACTTGTTTGTAATATTTACACTTAAAAAAAGAGATATGAAAAACAACTCGAACAAATTTAAAATGTTAAAACTCAATATTCAATCAACAGTAAATGCAAAGTAAAAATGCAATTTCGTAGATTGATATACCTAGTGTGGCAGGTATAAGAATAAAGTTTTTGAAAACCAAGAGAAAAACTGTTCACTGCAGTAATTTGTGCGCATGTTAATATAAAACTCTTGACTTTCCATACTAATTTTTACTATTTTATATTCTATCATTTTAATGTAATTTATGTTAGATCATGTCGTAGTTATTGTAATAGATATTGTAGGTAAATAAGCATTACATAGCATTTTCATTTATATGTCTGTACATTGAAAAATAAAGTGCAATAGTAAGTTGAAAAAGAGGTTCCACTATGGGATACTTCGTTATTTCTATACTGAAAAAAACACATAGACATAATTACTCTTGTTATTTAATTTTACAAGTACTGTTAGTTGAAATATTTTGTTTCTTGCACACACAAAAAAAAAAA